CTTTTAATGTAAAAAATGTAATAAATGAACTTTGATTTGTTTACATCGAAAGATGAAGTTGGACAGCAATAAAGAACAATGAGTGAATTTTGTAGTAGTTCATACTGTGGAGAAAAAAGGATTTTAATTGTGCAATTGTTTATGCTATTAGTTTTGTCGGTAGCACCGATATGTCTGTGACCAGGTCGGTAAAGAAGATTAGTAATCTTTACTTGTACACTGCAAACTTAAGCTTATTATCAGCACAATTTTACGGTTCACTGATTATTTTTTTGGCAGGTTTGATCCTCACTGGACAACAGCGCTTTACTCAAAGACAAAAGTTCTGACCTTATGTTGGTTTTGCTGGCTGTTGGATGCAGTCAAAATTCAAATCAGATTAGGGTTTTAATTTAAACGACTATGTAGTTAAATAAAGGATGTGATCAAATCATCTAGAAATTATTTATCTGCAAAAATGGTCGGGTTGCAATTTTTGGTTGGTAATTTTTGCTTTTCCTGTCACAGTGAAATTACAGAACAAGTTTTAAAATAACAGTGATGCGTCTTCCAAATTCAGAATGTAAAAAGAATTTTTTTAAACCAATACTGCTTAACAGGAAGCTAAACTTTGCAAAAAAAAAAAAAGAAGCATATAGTTGAAAATTTGCCGTGATTTGATTCGATGTCTGTGCAGCACAGTTTAACCGGCACCGTTTTTTCACTGAACAGCCGAAAAATTGAATGAATTGCAGCACCGATAGTGAACAATTCAACAGTTACTTTAGAAAACTTTTAAGTGTTTTCTGTTTTGAATAAACTATTCTAAAACAACCATGGTGTTCAGAACAAAACTTGATCAAATAGTGGCGCTGTTTGGTTGTATTATAAACGAAATTTTTTTTTAGTTTTCAAGTAGTTTCAAATCTTAAATTTTTACAAAAAAACATCAACGAAGGCTTATCATTATTTGCGTACTGATACTGTAACTGTAGAAACAGCACAAATTCTAAAACTTAAAATTTTATGATTTAAAAGATCAATCATTCTGATTTCTTTGGGTTTTTTTGCAATAAGCCTTATAGATTTTGAGGTCTGATGTTAAGTAGGGAAACAACTGTGGTAAACCAATGTTATCGTCGACGACAACAGCGGCAGCAGTACCAATTATTATAACGGAATCAATTTTTTTTTTTGGGAGGGATAATAGTGTGAAGTTGTTAACGACACTAAAATAAAAGCAAACACTTCAAAAGGACTTCAAATTTTGGCACACAATAATCGGACACTCACCTTTGGTAATGTTAATGACATTAATACCAATAAAAATAATAATATTAATAATAGTAGTAAGAGCAGTAATAGTAATAATAATGATAATAATAGCAATAGAAAAACAACAAGATAGCAACTTTATTTACAGTTTTCTGACACATCTATTTGATGTTTTTTTTTTTTTT